AAAATGATTTTTTTTAATTTTTTTAACATCAAAAAATAAAAATTATTAAAAAACATAAAAAATATAGATTTAATGTTTTTTCAAATCAAACGTAATTTTAAAATATACCACAATAATGCCTCGCTTCATCCAGTAGCCATGTGTACATTGTTGAAGTAAACTTAATCTAGAAGGTCAAGGAAGGCAATCACTAGCTGTCACCGCCCAACTATCCAGCCGCCAGCCGCTTTCACAAAGTCGGCAACAGCCGCCTTCACACTTGAAGGTTGAATTTTTTTGTTTTGAATTCATGTATAAATTGGCAGTTAAACTTATGCAATTATGTGTGGAGAGATTTGAGAGAAACACTAGAGAGAGAGAGAAAGAGAGGGTGTGCATTGTAAGCTTTTGTTTATGTGTTATTGTAAGCTTTGTTCTTGAAATAAAAGAGTGTGTTTTATCCCCTCCGAGTGTTTCAAAGCCACCACAATTGGTTTCTCCCACCAATAATTAGTATCAGAGCCTCGTTCGTCAGAAAACAGAGGTATTTTTGGGATATATCTGAATTTTCAAAATTGTCAAAAACAAGTTTTGATCATTCCAAAGTGTAGAGCTCATCAATACGAACTTAACGGTGAAAAAATCAGATTAATCAGAGCACGAGGTGGCCCACACTCTCCATCTAAAGTTTCAGTACTGTAGCCCACGCGCCCCGAGGAAGAAGACAACTGAGCCCCACCCGCGCCATATTTGAGCCGCGCCGAGCCACCTAAACCGAGCTGCCAAGTCGAGCCGAGAGCCAAGCCACGAGCCATTTTTCGAAGCCAAGCCAAAAAGAATATTCCCTAGAATATTCCCCGTTCAACCTAGAGAACCGCCCGAATTGGTTTTTGGACCGGTTCACCCCATTTTTGACCCCTTTTCTACAAAGTTAGACAGGTTCCCTATTATTTAGACTATTCTGGATCCATCTACGGTGTCAGTTTTGCCAAATTCAACTCCTAAAAGGTGATATAGTCATTTAAAGAGACAAATGACTATAGAAAATGCACAAACACTCA